CCCAAGACCTTGAGAGCATGTCTTGGTCAACCTGTTGGGGGATGGAGCACATGGAACAGAGCAGAGCTGCCCAAGTTTCTGCCAATAATGTGTCCTATGCTGCTGAAAGCCAGCAACTTGTCAAACTTCTGTGTGAGCCTGGTTAGGATAAAAAGGCTGCCTGGACAACTGGCCAACCGGCAGGTAACCACAGTCCTGACCAATAAAAACAGTCCATCTTAGATTTCTAGGCTCCAAAAAGCCTAGGTTTATTTCCAGTGAACTAATGGCCAAAAAGATGTAATCAAGTAAGTAATCATATAAAAACAGCATGTAAAAAAATCAGATCTCTTTTTATATATTTCATGATTCTTCTATTTTCAATAAAAATATTCTTTTCTATGTTTTTCTCTAAAAAGAGTTAGGCAGCTATACTTGAAACTCTCCTATTCTATTAGTGGTTCCCAGTATATTATCTACCACCTTGGCAAACACTTGACAGATTCTTTAAAAAGTTAAATATGCACTCACTATAAAGCTCAGACATTGTAATCTTAGAACTGAAAATATGTCTCCATAAAGAATAGTACACAAATGCCAAAAACCTGGACACCATTTGGGATGGTTAATTTTATGGGTGAAATTGACTGGGTCATTTGGTGCCTAGATATCTGATCTTATCTGATCTTATGTGTTTTGGGTGGGTCTGGATGAAATTAACATTTGAATTGGTAGACTGAGTCAGGCAGATTGCCCTCCCTAATGTGGGTGGGCTTCATCCAATCAGTTGAAGTCCTGAAGAGAACAAACTGACTCTCCTGTAAGAGAAAATTCCCGACTAATGGCCTTTGCAATGGGACATATTTTTCCCTGTCTTCAGATTTGAAATAACATAATTATCTCTTCCTGGGTTTCAAACCTACTGACCTTTGGAATGGAAAATACACCATTGGCTCTCTTAGATCTCCAACTTGTGGATTACAGATCTTCGGACTTCTTGGTCTCTATAATCATGTGAGGAAGTTTCTTATTCGTACACACACACACACACACGCACGCACACGCACGCACGCACACACACAGAGTTGCCTCTTGAAAAACATGGGGGTTAGTGGTGCCTATCTCTTGCACAGTTGAAAATTCACATGTAAATGTTGACCAGAAGTCTTACTGATAACATAAACAGTTGATTCACACATATATTGTAAGTTAAATATACTGTATTCTTTAAAAAAATCCTCACCTAAGGATATGTTTATTGATTTTAGAGAGAGGAAGGGAGAGACAGAAATATCAATATGAGAGAGAAACATTGATTGGTTGCCTCCCTTATGTGCTCCTAATGGAGATCTGACCAAGGATTGAACATGCAACCTAGGTACTTGCCCTGAACAGAAAACAGAAATCAAACCCAAAACCTTTTGGTGTACCAGATGACCTCCAAATAACAGCCACTGGCCAGGGCTATATACTGTATTCTTACAATACAGTCAGCTAGAGAAAATAAAATGTTATTAGGAAAATCATAAGGAGTCCTGAGGCAGTGGCTCAATTACTTGAAGCATCATCCCATAAGCCAAAATTAAAAAGTTTGCAAATTTGATCCCTGGTCAGGGTACATACCTAGGGTTGGGGCACATGCAGGAGACAACCGATTAATGTTTCTCTTCACATCAATGTCTCCCTCTCTCTCTTTCTCTCTCTCCCTTCTTCTCTCTTTTAAGTCAATGAACATATCCTCGGGTGAGGATTAAAAAAAAATTTAAAAAGAAGATCATAAAGAATAGAAAATATACTTCAGAATTTATTGCAAAAATGAAAAAATATATAAAACCCACCCTTCTGGAGAACATTAATACACCGCCCAAAAGTTAATTAACAGGTGAATGGACAAATAATGGAATTCTCATCAATAAAAGAAACACTGCTGAAACCTGCAATCATGGAGGTAAATCTTGAAAACATTATGATAGGTGGAAAAAGACAGAGAAGAGTTCACACTGTGTGCTTCTATTTACATGAAATTTTAGAAAAGACTAATTTATAACATCAGATAGCAGATTAGTGATTGCCTGAAGTTGATGAGAATTGACTAAAAGAAGTATAAAGGACCTTTGGGGTGATGGAAATGTCTTTGATTGTGGTGAGACAATTTTGGCATATCCATGTGACAAACACAAATTATATCTCAATAAAGTTGATTTTACAAACAAAATTAGCCAGCCCTGGCAAGAGGATAAACTCTTTTATCAAATTTTTGATACTTGAATCCATGTCAAATGAAGTTTAGATGACCAAGCAAGATCTAAGTTTCATTCATTCCTTCATACATTCATTCCCTCATCCATTCACTCAGTTATTGGGACACCATGAGTTGCCTACTCTGTGCCAAGTTATGGTCCAGACAAATTTGGCACTAGCCCATGTGAAGCACAGAGGGGCAATGAGGTGCAGTCCTCACTGGCCTTCTATATACTTTCAGGCAGTAATACCAACCATTCCCACCCTTCCTCTCCTCCCCTTCATAAGTGACTCATTATAGAGCTGCCCTGTAGAATTAGAGGTTGGGCTGGTATCAGAACTTGGTATGTTATTGGCTCTTGGTCTTTTACCCGTCAACATCATAGTTTGCCAAATACAACTGTCTGGATGTCTGACTGGAGCTCAATTTCCATATTTAACATAAACTCTGGAGCCACTGTTCCCATGTGTACAAGTACAGACCCAGAAAAGCAACATAATTTCCAAGCAGTTTTTCATCAGGGAATGCTTCCAAAGACAGTTTTGAAAGGGCGTTTAAAAACAGACTTAAATTTCATGAGGTCTTCAATGCAAATGAGTTGAAAAGTCCCCTTACCACCTTCAGCTGGATATGCCAAATGGACAAATTCCAAACTGTTAGTATTCTTATAAGCTGTTTTGGGTCTTAGCCCAATTAGCTAATCTATGTCTAATAAAGACAATAATAAAAGATAAAGTCTTGCACCCAACGATACTAATCTTGCTTTTGTATTTAAAGAATTTGTTTTTTAATGCTTTCAGTAATGTTAAAATTGCTTCTTAGACTTGAGAATTCATGAAAAAAGAAATGTTTGATCATAAATCAAGAATCTGAATTTTGTCAAGTATACTGCTTTTAAAATTCATTATAATTATACACACATACATGCACACACAGCTTAGAATTTGGTATAAAGGAGGTGAGACCATGTTGGGTGCAAGACTATATCTTTTATTATTGTCTTTATTAGACATATATTAGCTAATGGGGCTAAGACCCAAAACAGCTTATAAGAATACTAACAGTTTGGAATTTGGTATAAAAGAGGAGAGACCATGTTGAGGGCATAACTCAAACTCCAAGATGACACACTCTCCTTAAGATTTCTGAGATGCACCATCCGAGAGAGGCTGCAGGACGTGTATGGGAAGTGAGCACCATTCAAGCCAGGGAGATGGTCCAGCCAGTCCCACAGGCAGCTGAACCCACTAATGAACTACGTGCTCATATTAATCTGAGGGCAGGAATCAGAGTCTTTTCATCAGACTGTTAGAGAGTCACAAAAGAATCATCAGAAAATTAAAGGAATTTACCAAAAGAAACAGGCCAAATTGGCAGTGTACAGTGTTTTGCTGAATAAGGGATAACTACCACCCGTGACTGGGGTGAAAGGTATGACGAGGACCAGGCTCCGCATCACCACTGCTCATCGGATCAGACAGACGGCGACTGAGACAGAACAGCGTGTGTGCAGTACAGAAAATTGTGTCGTCTTCCAGCCACAGCCACGCACACAAACACAGCTTTCCCTGTCACAGCGGCCATCCGTGTGGATGACAAATCGGCACGCGCACAAAATCACACGCGCACTTACACAGGGAGCAAACCCAGGCACTTTTATTTACACTTTAGAAAGCAAGCAAGCTGCCCAAAAAGAATGGCTAGGAAACAAAAACAGCTTCATTCGTGCTGTTAGAAAGGTGTAGGTCATTCATTCATTCATTCATTCATTCATCTGTATAAATAATCTTTCTGGCAACAGCAGCAGCTAACTTTTCCCATTAAAAAACTTGACAATTTCAAGTACATAGAAGTCACTTACGTTTTCCCCTGCTTTTATTTTATCTGGCACATTCTCCTAGTAATAAGCTGACTCGTGCACTCAAAGCATTTCATTTAAAAGGAATTCAGATCTTTACTAGTAGGAAATGGGAAACGTGAGCACTCCCTCAGTCAGTATCCGTGTAACAGTACAACACAAAGCAGGAAACATCATTTAAAAACAAACACAAAGGTGGGCCTGCCACACTTTTATTTCAGTTTCCTCAGCTGTTAAAAGTGACCTCAAGTGCGCTACATTTCCTCCTGCTTTCTTCCCAGCCGCCTCTGTGCCCTCGCCCACGAACCTATGCCTCTGGGGGAGCTGCTAGTCGTTGTCACTTGTCAGGAAGCCTGCACTTGCATATCCTGGGCTTCACGTGCAATTTCAGAATCTCAAATGACACTACATAGGCTTGCTCGAGGTCTCCTTTTAGTGCAGTTTGGCAAATATCCCAAACGAACTTCAACTCTACGTTCCAAGTGTCAAACAGAAGATAGGGCTAAGTGCAGCTATGGCCTTCTGGGCTGCCCAGAGGCTCTGAAGAGCTCAGGACAGAAAACCTAATGACCCCAAAAGGAAGTGACTGCAGACACCTGCCTCTTTATCACTGCAGAACAGTCCCCCAAGAGACAGAAACACCTGAGAAGGTGGCTGGAATCTGGGCTATTGGGTTGCAGTGAATATACTCAAAGGCCATCAGCCCCTGCGCCCCACTTTCCTCCACCCCCATAGAAAGCATCAGCGTTCTCCTCACTGCACCAGCATGAAGGACAGCAAGCATGGACACGGAAACCAGACCTCTCTGGTGATCTCCTTCCTCCCATGCCCCAGTGCCCTCTGTCACTCTAGGCTTTCTGCCTGCTCAGTTGAAGTGCACTTTGGTTTTGGTAGCTAGAAAAGAGGTCACTGTAAAGCGGACTAGATGGCCAAGTCATTGGGTCTGCCCCGACTGCCACTGGGCTTCCTGGCCCAGCTTGACCGTCTAGGGCCTGTGGAGGGCAACGGGGACATGTGCATCTCCACAGCGGTGATCACTGCCTGCTGCCCCTCATCGGGAGTCACTTCCAGTCTGCTCTCTCCCACGCTGCTGCCGTCCCCATTCTCCAGCAGGACAGACTCTTTGCTGCCTGCTCTGCCCTGCTGAGGGGGTGGCTGGGGGCGGCCTGGAGGGGTAAAGGAGGAAGATGTGGACGCAGGAGGGGAGACCTTCCTCACAGAAGTCTGCCGCTCGGTCTCCTGGTTGGCCCAGTTCTGCTCTGTCATTAGCAGGTGATGGTTACTATCGCACAATTTGTCAGGGTGGCTCTTCCCCCGTGTCAGGGATGGGGCGGCCACATTGAAGTCTGTTGCTGGTGGAGGGGACCCGGGATAGGCTGTGGCCATTGCCTGTCCCAGAGAAAAGGCAGAGTGAGCGTAGTAAGGAGGGCACCCCACTGTACCAGTGGCTGGAACATGGTGGCAGGGCAGTGGGCTCACACCCCCAGATTTTATGGCCCCCATCTTTGAATCATGGGTGTCTGGGCCATAGTGGTTGGTCATGCCCTGTTTAAGCTTCTTCCAGCCCAGGTGGTATATCTCCAGCACATTGAGTAGGAGGGACAGGCAGGCCACGACCAGCATGAAGATGATGAAGATGGTCTTCTCCGTGGGCCTGGAGATGAAGCAGTCCACCGTGTTGGGGCAGGGCCACCTGTCACAGCGGTAGAGTGGCTTCAGCTGGAAGCCATAGAGAAAGTACTGTCCAACGATGAAGCCCACTTCAAATAGCGTCTTAAAGATGATGTTGAAAACATAGGTCCGGAGTAGGGTCCCAGCGATGCGTACCTTGCCACAGTCATCCCACAGGGGTTTTTTATCCTTCTGGCTGTTGTGTCTGGATGCACACTGACCAGCAGATCTGAGATGCAGGCTACCTTCCTTTACTTGCTCTTCTTCCTGTCCTTTCTTCTTATCTTCCATGCGCACTATGTGCAGCACGTGCCCCAGGTAGATGAGGGTGGGCGTAGACACAGAGATGATCTGCAGCACCCAGAAGCGGGTGTGGGAGATGGGGAAGGCCTCGTCATAGCAGACATTCTCGCAGCCTGGCTGCTGGGTGTTGCAGGTGAAGTCTGATTGCTCGTCTCCCCATACTTCCTCCGCAGCAGCTCCAAGCACCAGGATCCGGAAGATGAACAGGACTGTCAACCACACCTTGCCAATGACTGTGGAGTGCTCTTGTGCATTCTCCAATAGTCTCCCCAGGAAGCTCCAGTCACCCATTGCTCACCACTGTCAGCCTATAAGAAAACATGCTTGTTAATAGGCAGGTAGGACAGGTGAGCTCAGGTCCAACAAGCTGAAGGAGCAGGTGTGGCTGTGCATGGGGTTTGGAACAGAGTGTCATTGGGTTCTGTTCTCTCAATTCCCAAAATGGGCTGTGCTGCAAAGCTCTCTCCAAAGCCCTGTGTATTTATGTCTGTGAACATGTGTGTATATATGCATACATGGTTCTGTGTGTGCATGTGCACAAATGTGCACACATGTAAGTCTGTGTGCATGTACATGGGTTTACAGCTGTGCACATGCATGTGCCTATGCAAATCATGCATGTGTGCACAGGTGAGTGTTTACTGTGTTCGTGTGCATGTATATGAAATGTACAGCTTTGTGCATGCACATGTGTGCATATCTGACTATGTGAGAGTGTGCATCATGTACTGTGTCAGTATGCATTTGTACATGCATCTGTGTGTACCATTGTTGCATGTCATTCAGGAAAAGTATGCATACATGTGCATTAATGCACACACAATGCTTTCACATGTGTGCATATGCATGTCATACATAAGTGTGCATGCACCGGTATGTCTGTGCATGTGCCCACATTTACATGTACCTCTGTGCATGTAAATGTGCATGTACCTGTGTGTACACATTTGTGTATGTGCACATGCACATGCGTGTACAAGTGTAATGTGTGTATACCTGTCTCTGTGCATTTGTACATATATCTCTCTAATGTTCCATGCTGACTTCAACCATACTGAGCTATGTTAACCTACACAAGCTTGGATTAAATGAGACAAACACAGATCACTTAACTCAGTTCAGAGATGAGGAAACAGGCTAGAAAGATAAGTGACTTGCCTCTCCCTGCCTCCTCACTGCACGCTGGGCTCTTCCAGGCTGTCTCCGCAGGAGCCCTGGGGCTCCCGGTGCTGCGGGCCATTCCTAATCTCGCCCGTCCCGCTCAGGTGAGGTTACAGCAGCATTCTCCCAGGTTGCACCATGCTCATTCCACCTTCATAACTACCGCCTCATTAAGCTGTTACCTCCTCCACTTCTGACTTCCCTTTTGACTTTTTCTCTTTGCAGATGTTGCACAAAAGGTTCGCTCAGCTCACACATGATCCCATTGCCCATGGCCCCATCAGTAAGGTGCGGATCATGGCCGTACACAGTGAACTGCACTCGGATGGAGGGAAGACAGACCCGTGGGCCCTCTTTGTGAAGGTGACAGTGCTCCTCGGACACAGGGGACCAAGCCTACTCGGAGTCCTCCATGTCGCCCCTGCTCAAACGAACAGATGCTCCAGCTGGAAGTGAGGACAGCGCTGCTGTTCTCATGGCCAGTCTGTGCAGTAAGGAAAGTGGGCTAAGCTGTGAGTATACATACACTTCTCCAGGGGAATAAACAACACTCTATCATGTTGAATCTTAAAAGGCTTAACAATACAATTTTTTTAGGAACTGGTTTAAAGGCAAATAAACAAACGAAACCTTACTGCCTCTGATCTAAAAAAAAAGGCCGATGTTCACCTTCTTTTAGAATAAACTTCCAACTCTTTGTTTTGCTCATTGGAGCTCTGTAGAGAAATCTTAGTGTTCACATATCTTACCAGCCTCTTTGCCCTATATTGTGACTGCCATCTGCTCTACTGTGCATGATCTCAGATGGTAACAAGTTTTCACTGAGAAATTAATTACTGAACATAAAACAACCCACTGTCCCATGAGGGGTGTCAGGTGTCGGCGAACCATTCTAGGTTACATCCTGTTTCTTCTCCAAGCTATCAACTCTGAGTGCTACACAGACCCCACAGCCATCCTTCTGGGCTTGTGGGGATGCCGTCAATCCCAGACTGTCATGCACCCCAAACTCTGCCCTTGGCCCTAGCCTCACCCTCCACTCTGCTGGATGCCTGCCTCTGGGGCACAGGACCAGTGCCACAGCCAGTGTGCACCACCCGTGAGGACCTGGGGTAGACCAAACTTCCTGTGGGCCCTGAAACTCTACCTCTATGCCTTTGCAGGTGCTGTGTCTTCCATTTAAAACATGGTCTCTATCTTGAGATCTGTCAGTGAAGATGGGAAAATTCAGGAGAGCGGGGAGCTCTGCAATAGCAGAGGGGTTTCACTGAAGAAGGGTATTAATATTAAAAGATGTAGCCAGGGAGGAGTGGGATTTGAGCTGGGTTTAGGAGATATGGCTTTGTGTAGAAGAGAGGGTGAAGGGTGTGCATTCAAAGAGCAGAACAATGTTCCCATGTCAGTGGGAATATGTGTGATCATGTGACTGAAACAGGGCATTGGGTCAGAGAGCAGTGAATTTAATGGCTGCTTGAGCACATGCAGCTAGGCTGTGGCCATGTTTGCACACAGTAAGCGTTCTGTAAGCACTGGTGGTGCACATGAACCAGAGCACTAGAGCCACTAGCTCACTTAGGGAGGGGAGAGAGGTGCTGAAGAGTTGTTCAAGAAAGAAGTCCACAGGGACTCAGGGAGGGTGTGGTGACCTTGGAGCGAGGGTTGAAGGCTGAGCTGGATGACAGGAGGGGTGAATGAAAAAGGAGAAAAAAAGGGAGGGGACACTCTGAAGACAACAATTAGAGCAGCATTGTACTGTCTGACCAGAGCCAGAGATGAGAGAGTACGAATGAGAGACAAGTCTTACATGTCCGAGCCTGGTGAGTGGGAAGTTATGGGGGGTTTTAAAGAGAAGGACATTGGAAGAGGGCTGCTAATCTGAGATTGGAAGAGGAGATGAAGACTTTGGTCTGATGGCTGTGTGGATGAAACAGTGGTGGGAGGTTTGAGTGAAAGTGTCCAGCAGGAAGCTGGAGACGTGGGGTTGGAAGCATCTGGGAAGAGGGTCTACAGGGTGGCTCCTCCTCTCCCGGGTGAGGACCAAAGTACAAAGAACAGTTTAGAGACACATGTCACAAAAAATGCAACACAGGAGATGAAGAGGATGCACAACCGATTCATTGCCCTTGGTGCCTGCAGAGGTGGCCGATGTGTGGTGGGTGCTTCGTGAAGGACACGTGATCTGACGATGTCAGACAAGGTGCGTGAGGGCCTGAAGCCGAGCAGAGCTGGATGCGAGACCCTCCCTGCAGAGGGTGGAGGGAAGGGACCACCCTCGGCGTGCTCTGACGAGTTCTGCCAGAGAGTCCACCATGTTTGGGTTCTATTAGATTCTTGGCATTTGTGCCTGGAAACCTGTCTTATCCCTCCATACTTTATTTTCATTATTGTTCTCCCCATCCTAGTGTTCTGGCAAAGTTCTTTCAGGAAGTTTTAGATGTGGGAGGAAAATGATCGGGTAGCCCCTGAGTGCTTGTAAAGATGAGACACTCAGGGCCAGCAGATGCAAGGAAACCCAGAGAGGCTGGGAGGGAGAGAAGTTGCCCAGGACCCGGAGAGCCTGACTCCCCTTCAGGTCTCAGAAGGCATATTCCCTTGAGAGCAAGACTGAGAATCGGGGTGGCCTGGAATTGAGGAGGCCTGTGGAGGACTTTGCAGTGTCAATGTTCTTCAGAGCCTTCAAGAAGGAAGGAAATGAAAAGGAGACCCTGTGATCTCACGGTAAGGAGGCCACAGATGGTCTTCAGGTGACCAGTCAGTGACAAGACAGGGACAAAACCAAAAGCCTGGGCAAGGGTTTAGGAGGCAGTATATAGGTGTAATGGAGGAAAGATAGAGATTGCACTTGCTCAATGACTCTAGAACTTAAAGAAAGGAGAGACACAAAATGGACAAAAAGAGGGCACAGGCCCAATGTAGGTGTTTTTAGGATATAAAAAGCTATAGGGCATGGAGTTCTGAGGGACGAGGAGAATGGAGGGTCAGGCTCCTCAGCCAGCAGCCAGGATGAGTGAAAGGATTGTTGGGTAGGGCGAGAGGGGAGGTGTGGGACAAAAGTTCTTCAAAGCATTGCCCTCGATGGGTGGTTCAGTTGTGTGGAGTGTCACCCTGTAAAGTGAAAGTGTTGCAGTCTTGATCCTTGGTTGGGGCATATACATGGTTTGTGCATTTGATCCCTATTTGGTTCATGTGTGGGAGGCAACTGATTAATGTTTCTCTCTCACATTGATGTTCCTCTCTCTCTCTGCATTAGTCTCTCAAAAATCAATAGACATAACTTCAGGTGAGGATTTAAAAAATTACAAAAAACATTCTCCAAAGTGTTGACATAACTTCTCTCAGTGAGGTCAAAAGTGAGGTCACATTCTCAGGCAAGGGCAGGACTTGAACCTTGACAAGAAAGAAAAGTTCGATTGCAAGGGAATAGGGAGGATGAGGAAGGGATTGGGTTCCATCTGCATCCCCTTCTGCTGATGCTACATCTGTGACAGGATGAAGCCTTGCAGCAGAGACTGAGGGAGACCTATTATGTGTGAAGTACTGGTGCTGAACAGAACAGAACCATGGCCAGAAAAATGTAAATCTGTGGGAAAGACATTCCACAGAAGAGGTGCCAGATGCTGTACATATCATGGAGAGAAAGGTAACTGGGGAGGAGCATGGAGGGAAGTGTAGGGGTCAGATAGGTCTTCTGAAAAGGTGGTATTTGAGTGAAGAGCTGAGCCCCTTATTGGAGGGGAGATAGACCTGCAGAGCCAGGCTCTCAGGAGTGAACAGAGAGGATAGGCTTAGGGGTAGCAAAGACTAGACGGCTGGAGTAGAACCAGCCAAGAAGGGATGGGTGGACAAGCAGATCAGAGGCAGACAAAACATAACAGACAGTGACGACCCTGGCTTTTACTCCAAGTGAGCTGGGAAAGTATGGGAGAATTTAGAACAGAAGAGTGACATAAGGGACTCCCATCTTCACTGGACCACTCTGGTTGGCTGTGGTAAAAATGAGAGAGAGGTAGGACAATGGTGAAAGCAGAAAGTGCAGTGAGGAGGCTGTGCTGTAGTCCAGAAAGTTGATGGTGGAAGCAGAGAAGGTTTTGAGAAGTGGCCAAGTCTGTACATATTCTGAAGCGGGGGCA